GAAGCTTCTGAATAATGCACTGAAAAAGATCAATCAAAATGCTGAACCTGTCATGGACACTTTTACAATTATGACAACTGAATGAAAAGTTACTGTCTCACTGAACAGCTGTGGCCGCTGGTTTAACAAAAAAATCCCTTCTTTGTTTCAGTAACCAGTATTTTCAGTGCTTCAGTGTTTTCTGGTAAGTTTCCTTTTCAGTGAATAAGTGGGTTCAATATGAATTACATACTGTAGTGGACTCATTACTGAATGTAATGTACCTTCTCATGTACCACCAGAGTATTATACAGAATTCAGGATTTAGACATTTTCTGCAGAAATGCATTGCATGTCAAATTAGGATCTGCAGAAAAAAAGACTTTCTTTGCATATATAGAAACATGTGGCAATCTGTGTTTAAAGCATAAAATTATTCATTATTCTTTATTTGTGACAGGCGGCTTCAATATAAGACTCGTTAATGGAAATGACCCGTGTTCTGGTAGAGTGGAGGTCTATTATAAAGGCCAGTGGGGAACAGTGTATTTTGAAATATTATTTATTAATATTTCATTTTGAAATATTTTGAAATATTAAGGACACATTTAAACCCATCTCATCAGGTTCCGCAAAGTCTTTTAAAAGTCAAGAATGGACTCAGCTGGCATACTTTCCACGCTTGAGCAGTATTTAGTGCACCACCCTCCAGGAAACCATACAGACTGCATTGCAACAATCTACACCAATCAGGCATAACATTATGACCACCTCCTTGTTTTTATACTCATTGTCCATTTTATCAGCTCCACTTACTATATAGGTGCACTTTGTAGTTCTACAGTTACAGACTGTAGTCCATCTGTTTCTCTGCATACTTTGTTAGCCCCCTTTTACTCTGTTCTTCAGTGGTCAGGACCCCCATGGACCCTCACAGAGCAGGTACTATTTGGGTGGTGGATCATTCACAGCACTGCAGTAACACTGACGTGGTGGTGGTGTGTTAGTGTGTGTTGCGCTGGTCTGAGTGGATCAAACACAGCAGTGCTGCTGGAGTTTTTAAACACTGTGTCCACTCACTGTCCACTCTATTAGAGACACCTACCTTGTCAGTCCACCTTGTAGATGTAAAGTCAGAGACGATAGCTCATCTGCTGCTGCACAGTTTGTGTTGGTCATCCTCTAGACCTTCATCAGTGGTCACAGGACGCTGCCCACAGGACGCTGTTGGCTGGATATTTTTGGTTGGTGGACTATTCTCAGTCCAGCAGTGACACTGAGGTGTTTAAAAACTCCAGCAGCACTGCTGTGTTTGATCCACTCAGACCAGCGCAACACACACTAACACACCACCACCACGTCAGTGTTACTGCAGTGCTGAGAATGATCCACCCCCAAATAGTACCTGCTCTGTGAGGGTCCATGGGGGTCCTGACCACTGAAGAACAGGGTAAAAGGGGGCTAACAAAGTATGCAGAGAAACAGATGGACTACAGTCTGTAACTGTAAAACTACAAAGTGCACCTATATAGTAAGTGGAGCTGATAAAATGGACAATGAGTATAAAAACAAGGAGGTTTTGGTCATAATGTTATGCCTGATCAGTGTATGTAACTATTTTATAATTTTCTTTAGCTATTTTAATTTTATTTAAAATGTTTAAAATGATTGTTTTTCCATTTTTATGCTGAGTAACTTCTTATTTGTAATTTGATACATTTCAGAAATATGTTTCTTTATGGCCCAATCTCATTTCTTATTTTTACCTCTAGCTCTTGTTTTCGAGTGTCACCTTGCCCTGTGTTACCGAGTTATAAGGGGTAGTGGTTGAAATTTAGGGAATCAAATGCCTTCAAATGGTGTAGGGGTATTTTCTCTATTAAAAAAAATTAATGATATTGTATTATTTTAGTTTAATGTCGTTTAGATGTATTATGGTCCTTTTCTTCATAACAAGTATAAAAAATCGATTAGCAGTATGCTGATGTTTTGGTAGCTAGCTAGCTACATTTCCCATACCACTTAAATGGTGCAACAGTTCTGACGCCTGAGGGGCCAGAATGTAACTGCTTCTCTATTTAAGGTGAATTTCTTTAACAGACGACCAACAGAGTCTCATTGTCACCCTGAACTCATCACACTCTGCTGTCTCACCTGGGGAGGCTGTTCAGTTCAGATGTACCTCTCTGAACACAACCTGCATCTCTGCAAACTTCTCTTTGTACAAAAACGGGGAATCAATAAAAACTCAAACAGCTGAATCTTCAGCCACGTTCAATTTGACTGTGGATTCATCACATCAGGGCCAGTACAGCTGTGACTATTCATACCACGGAAACAACATCACATCACCTAGGAGCAGCTCGATTAACATTACTGTGGGTGAGTGCAAACAACACTCGAAAAATCATCTTTTACTAATTTCTACAGATTTATTCATGTGCTGTCCATTTGTATTGAATGATTATATATATATATATATATATATATGAATATATATATATATATATATATGTATGTGAATATATTCAGCTCCCTGTTTGTATTTGAGAATCACAATGAAGACTTAGTATAAGCCCTTATTCTTAATATCCAATACGTTAAAAAAACACAACCAGACTTGATATGAAGGGTCCACTACATTGGTATGTATTGGTGTGAAAGTTCAATCCAATATGATGCTACAGTTTTCCATGGCCGGGAGTCCAAGAGAGCACAACCGGCCTCTCTCTGGGTGGGTAGGACTCCTCCCACCCCCCACTCAGCACAGCCCCGGAGTCTGTTAGCTAACATTGGCTGTTCAGCTGTGTTGAGAAGCATATTTCTCTCAAATTGCCATTATATCCTACTGCAGGAAGCTGTAGTATACGGGCTCTGCTCGTTCTGCCACTGATCATGCATTTTTTGCAAATTGAGTTATAAATTTATTTTTGACTTCACAGGACAAGCTTCACTCATCACGTAACACTTTTCACAAGTAACCAGTCAAAAAAGGGCAGGTAAAACTGAACTGGAGAGTGAACACAGGGCCCTATTGTAGGACATATTCACTTGCATTTGTGATTAAAAAATGCTCAGCTCAAACAAATATTAATTCACTGGCATGTTTACCATCCTGTACATTGTTATCACAAAGGCTTGCTAAAAAAAAAAGCCTTGAGAAATAGACAATGAATTCCTCTCACCACTGAAGGTCTTGGTGAGTGGTTTCCTTTAATGTAGAAATGTAGTCTGTTTGCTAGTTGTGGTGTTACAGGCATTTGTGAAGGTTTGATTATGTTTACATCGGCTGGTTAGGAAGAATTCATACTGGTGGAAGCACAACAGGGTCAAACTTCTAGCCCATAACACTGTCCATAAAGGTCCGCTCTGCTCTTTCTCTTTGCAAAACATTCTACTGTCTGAATGCAGCCTTAGTGTTCTCCTCCAAGAGTGTTCAGCTGTCCAGTGACACTGTGTTAGCAGTAAAACGAAAAGATGCTGTGTCTGGGTTCACAGGAGTAGGAAGAAGCAAGTGTTAGGCTTCACCCTCTTAGCACTGGTTGAATTGTGTAATTGAGAAGAGCTAGCTGAGGGGTGGAAATGGACATTGGACATGACTAAATTGGGGAGAAAACTGGGGGAAAAAAATTGGTGTAAATAGGCCTTGACAGATAAAATGATGTGCATTGCTCTGCAGGTAGAGGAGAATTTTGCTTGCTTAATTTATTTTAAATAAGTATTGAGAAGGTCACAGCATGTATCACAGTTTTTACTTGGACAGCATAAAATCATTTGGATTAACTGAAAGTTTCTCATGGTAAAAGCAGTTCTTGTAAGGGTTCAGCTGGCCCCGCCTGCTGCCGGCAGAGGGCGACGGCGGCAGGGTGTCCAGCCTGCGCCGCCTGCTGCCAGCAGAGGGCGACGGCGGCAGGGTGTCCAGCCTGCGCTGCCTGCTGCCAGCAGAGGGCAACGGCAGCAGGGTGTCCGGCCTGCGCCGCCAGCTGCCAGCAGAGGGCGACCGCGGCACAGGGCCATAACTTCAGGGAACTCCAATTCCCAGAAGTCCGCGGGCTGATTAGGCCCAATGCGACACACCTGCGGACTCCTCTACTTAAGGTCAAGGCAAACAGTGGTGTTTGTCACACCTCTGTAGAGGGGTGACCGGTACGGTACTTAGTGTCAGAAAAGAAAAGAAAAGAAAAGAAAAGAAAAGAAAAGAAACTGCCCCAAAACTAAAAAGGAAAAAGAAAAGAGGGCTGAGAGAAGAAACTGCCCCAAAACTAAAAAGGAAAAAGAAAAGAGGGCTGAGAAGAGAAATTGCCCCAAAACTAAAAAGGAAAAAGAAAAGAGGGCTGAGAGAAGAAACTGCCCCAAAACTAAAAAGGAAAAAGAAAAGAGGGCTGAGAAGAGAAATTGCCCCAAAACTAAAAAAGAAAAGAAAAGAGGGCTGAGAAAAGAAACTATCCCAAAGCGGCTTAAAGCCAAAAAAAAATATATATAAATAAAAATAAATAAATAATAAATAAATTAAAAAAACAAAAAAGGAAAAGAAGAGGTCTGCCTTTCCTTCGTTTTTGGAGTGGAAGTGTTTTTTGGTTTTTCCTATTATCTGTTCTCTCGCCTCTCTAGTTCAGCCTTTGTTTGAGCACGCTGCTCTCAGCGTCTCTTTTGTTTGCCGTTCGTCATTTTCCCGCCTTTTCTTTTCCCCCTTCCTTGAGGTGTTATTGCCAGTAGTTACCCGGGCTCCTCAGTGGCGCAGTGGCAACGCCACGAAGCGCCGATCAATACATTGCCGGTTCGAACCTGGCTTTGGGTCACCTCATGTGCATGTTTCGGATTCACAACCCAGTATCACAACAACTCATTTTTTCCATTTTTTTTTTTCTGTTTCCATTTCTGCACTTGGGTCCGCCTCCCCGCCGTCCCGTAACAGTTCTGTTCATTTCTCTGTTGAAAGCAAGACACGTCTGATTTGGAGTGTCTGTAGTCAAATCTTGACTGTCAGTCTGCAAATCTCTATACAAGTTCTTGTTTTCCAGTGAACTTGCTGCAGCCCAATATCTCCTTCAGTGCTCCTGATGGGTGGTTCCACTGGTGGCTTCAAGGGTCAGAGGTGACCAGGGGCCACAGCTTCTCCATCAACTGCTCCACTCAACCACAGTACCCAGGAGGCTCCTTCCACTTGGAGTTCAGTGGATCCAGAAACAGAGCCCTGTTAGCTGTTAACCACTCAACCACCTTCTTCTTTGATAAGGCAAATTTTGTCCACCAGGGAAACTACAGCTGTGTTTATGAAGTAAACGTGTCTTCATGCACCTTTAACTCTCCTACCACTGAACTCTTAGATGTCACTGTGAAAGGTAAAGTAACATACACCAGTCTTTTGTTTGCTCATGTGTTCTCTGTATAAAGCAAGAAAGTATTGAAAGTCTTTCTTTCGCAGTGTCACCAATTCCCTTCATCGGTTCTGGAGTGGCAGCAGGACTGTTACTCATATTAGTGCCAATCATTTTCTTTACAAAGAGATGTAAAAAACAAAAATATCAGATGGCTGTGGAGACGGATCATAGAGTTTGTGAGTACTTTTTGTTCTGAATTAAATGGTGTTTTCATTATGTTAATTAACATCTTACTTTTGAAAAGTAAACTGAGGCTCTTTGTTCACTGGTGTTCACATAACATCTCATTTTTGTGTGGAGAAATTTGCTGCCTGGTTAGCTAATTACAGTTTTAGTATCAAAGCAAGTTTTCCCACACAATCAATCTGTAGGTGCCAAAAACATATATGGGACTGCCAGAGGGAAGAATGAGATGGATTATGAAAATGCCGAAACTATTTTTCGCCAGAGAGAAGATTCAGATAAATGTGACGTGAACTATGTCAATATGGAGGGTAATGTGGGGAAGATGGCACTGGGCAATGACTTTGCAGGTAAACAAATTCATATAAGTTGTGCAGGACAGTATAAGGAATTATAACATATTACAATCAACCAATCAACAATAAGCTGTTTGCTTCTTGATAAGACAGATAGATAGGTAGACAAATAGATATATAGACAGATACATAGATAGATAGATAGATAGATAGATAGATAGATAGATAGATAGACAGATAGGTAGGTAGGTAGGTAGGTACATAGATCGATAGATAACTTTATTAATCCCAGAGGAAAATTCATCTATTGCAGCAGCAGTATATACATATATGAACTTACTTATGTACAGGGTGATTCAAAGTGCCATATTTTTACAACTGTGAGGCACCTAGGAACCAATCACATACCAATTAAAAGAGGGGGGTCATAGAGTTTCTGACTGTCGGTATGGCAGTCCGAAATTGCACTGAAAGAGCTGTGAGTGCAGCGACACCCGACATGCTCAATCGAGTATGGGATGAATTTGACTATGGTGTTGATGTTGTCTGCACAGCTGGAGGAGGTTCATATTGAGCACTTTTAAAATTATATAATAAACTTTATGCTCATCAATATGCATTGTTCTGTAATGATTTACAAGTTAAATAAATCACTTTGAAATCGGATGAATCATTTTTAATCACCCCGTATATAAGTACATATACCATCTGAAGCAGCTTTAGGAAAGTGTGCTACCGTAACATTTGTTTAACAATGTAAATTTGAGTGTATTTTGACACAATCCTTCCTAATGTACCAAAACCACTTGTGTTATTACTTACACAGGGAACAAGATGGACGATGATAAAGACGAAAATGCAGCAGTCACCGTCCACCAGAGAAAGGAATCGGATGACCCTGATGAGGGCTACATTGACTTAGAAAAAATGGCCATGGACATTCACTTTGATGATGAAAAAATATTGTGAAAACATGGAGAAGTATGGTAAAAAATATTTGTTATCCAGTATCACTTTAATTAAGTGCGACTGAGGCATTTATAAATCATAAAAAAGGCCTTAAAAGTCACTCATCACTGGGTACAATGACATCAGCCCAGTCTAAAGAGGTGGTTCTCTGCAGTGCTGGGTTTGCAAGGTCCTCAAAAATTCCAAATAAACTAGCTTACTTAACTTGTTCTTAATAAAAGAATTCTGTATGAATGAACGAACAGTAGAATATTTGCCATGCGATCTGACTGCAGTAGCCCTATTTTGCCTGTATTATTTTAAAGACAATTCAGTGTAAATAGAGTTTTCTTTAAATTATTTAAAGTATTCAAATTTTGCATGATTTGCAATTAACATATTACACTCACATCTAAGAGAAGCGCAAGTTTGTGGATCACAACCTCTCGGCACACTGGCATTCACGGTGGAGAGGCACGTGGAGGTAATCTGTCCAGTACAGCTGCATTACTACTGTCTCAGTTTAGTTCACTTTCTGTGATGAACGTTAGTTTTTGATTCTGACTTGTTGTTAAATATGGAACTTATAAGGATTCAACAAGAAGAAAAGTCCAGTTTCCCACATGAGAAAAGCAAAATTTAGTCCATACTTAAATCCATCAGTAATAAGTTAACACGGTTGCCATAGTCAACATGTTTGTTGTGGTACTTTTATTTTAATCTTTCTTCCTTCAGCAAAGCCACATATTAAGTGCCTGATGGTAAGATGCGTTAATTATAGCACATTAATGACTTAATTATTTTTCATATTGTGTAAATATCTTTCAACTGAATACATGCATGGTTTTGGTGATGTAGGCTAGATTTCTCATGTAAAGTTTAAGTAAAATCTAGAGAATGGGTAATGGTGGTCCCTCAGTAATTCGTTTTGCCCCCCGTCGAACAGATCCTGTCACAGTGACTGACTGCCAAAAGTTTGTCTGTCAGGTTGGAATGAATTCTTTCACGTCAAAATTTTGTTTTATAAATCATACTTTAGCAAGGATTTTCATGTATGACCTTCATACGAATAAATCTGTGCATACAAATCTTTTATAAATGAAGCCCCAGGGTTGTAACAGTTTTTGTCTCTGCCTTAAATTTCAGTGGCTGTTTGCACTAATTTTTTCAAACATTGAAATAAAACAGCCTATTATAAATAAGAGTAGTGTATAAACCCTCTACGCTCTCACAAATTAAATAAGCCGATGTTAAATACAAACAGTAACAGAAAACAAACCAAGGAAAGCCCTTTTTTTTAAAGCAATTTATCAAAGAATGACTTCAGTATGATTATCAAGGGTCAAGTGGCAAAGCAAGGCGAGGTTTATCTCGAACAAGCCTGTTTACTTCTGAAAGACTTCTGTGCCCACCCAGTCTAGCAAGTAAAAGGTACACATCGCCACCTAGTGTACTTAAGCCACAACTATTCAAAGTTCAAGTCTTGTTCAAGGCTGGCAAAACTGTATTGAGGAACAGATCAGCATGTCAATGTTTTATGATACTATATTAAGTGTTTGTATACTATGTAAATCTTTGTTGTTGGACAAAAACCTTCTATCTCCAAAATTATAACTTCACAGGAGAAGGAAAAAACCTACTTTACTTTTAATGTAAGTCAGTGGAACCAAACGTTTTTCCGAGTCATTTTAGGTCATTTCTTTCAGTCCATCATGAAATTTACATAAGATGTAAAGGGCAACAGGTATTTTCAAATTATGTCAAAAACTGAAAAATGTAAAAAAAATGTTCTTCTGACATATATGACTGATTGATATATATATATATATATATCAATGTGCTTTTAGTTTTGGGTTATATTCTCTAGCACTTATTTCTCTTGCTTGGAGGATCGGGTTAGCAACTGCCCCCAGGTTGTTTGCATGTGTATGGGAGCCACTGTACCTTCTTGTACTCTGCTTGCTGAGTCTGTTTTAAATAAAGCTGCCTTATGGGTATGAACAGAGTTGTCTGTTTCTTCTGAGAACCCCTCATGCTACAGTACTGCTTGGCTCTAACATAACGTAAGACCACGTTAACAAAAACTACTTACAAAATGCATTAAAAGGTTTCTTACTGAGTTAATCACTGCAATGTAATACTGTGGTTAGTAGGGTCGGGCAGTATAGCGGTAATAAAGTAACTAAAAGTGATGCCAGTATATAAAATTAATGACTTCAAAATTTCTACTCCAAATATACATATCACACATTTGTATATCTGAGGGGTCGCTGACTGGTGGTATGGCAACTCACCGATAGGTGGGGATAGAAAGATGGGAAAAATCAAAACAAGGAAAAAAAAATGAAGTAAAAAAACCTACATGATAGCAGCTCAGCGATAGCTAAAAGCTCCACTCACCATAGAACATGTTCATTTTTCACCTTTCACACTAACACCACTCACTTGACTCCCTCAGATATCCCCTAAATGGGGTCCTTTAAGCTTCATTTAGCTGGAATGTGGCATGTTTGGGTTGCTAACTAAGCTCTCGTTAGCTTAGCCAAAACGCTGCAGCCCCAAACACCACAGAACAGGTTCAATTTCAGATTTCTGTCACTCCAACACCAGTTACTCGACTTCACTCTCTCAGACATTAGTCTTTATCATCTACACTTGTTTCAACAGTTAGGATCAAACCTGTACTGTGGTGTGTGTGTGTGTGTGTGTGTGTGTGTGTGTGTGTGTGTGTGTGTGTGTGTGTGTGGCTCTGTTTGGGTCTATAGCCTGCTCGTTAAGCTAAGTCAGCCAGTCAGGCTGCAGATCCAAACACCACAGATTTAATTTAGTCTTTCTGTCCCTTTAGCACCAGTAGCTCAACTTCACTCCCTCAGATTTAAATCACTATCATCTAAACTTGTGTTGGTGCTTTAGTCAGCCAGAATCCAGCATGTTCTGTGGTGAGCAGAGCTGTTATCATGCTAGCTAAGCTATTGCTAACCAGCTCCTCTCTCTTAGTTAGTAGCACTGTTTCACATTCAGCAGTTGTTTCATACATGGTTTGACATTCATTGAATGGTAGCTGAAAAATCAAAAAGCAAAATAAACCTTTTGATTATTTTCGATTTTGAAGTAACGCTGTTACCCACTGGTGTGGGGATTTATTATTTAGAGGTCTCGAAAATCAATTTCTCCGCAGACTGCCAACCAATGTTATGAAGTGAATGAAGAGGATTTGTTATTTTTTACAAAGCGAAGAATAAAACAATAATAGAAAAAGTTTTAAATCAAGACATGAGAGAAAATCTGAAAATCTGGGATGTTTACAGTGCATTATGAAGGTCCCATGACACAAAACAGAAGGGATGATACAAAAATTACTGGTCAGTGTAAAAATTGAATGAAATGTGATTGGTTGCTGGGTTACAAGACTGATCTCCAAATGACATTATTACTGAAACACCATACATGGAATTCTTAGTAAAAATAGAAATTTCTATTTTTTTTCTTTTTTAGAGATTTCTATTTTTTTTTACTTTTTTCAGTTTTCTATTTTTTCTTGCACTGTAAAGAGTGGCTCATCAGATCTACTTAAAAAATTACTTCATGTGGGAACAAGTAAATTAACTTTTATTAAACCTAAATAAATAAATCCAAAAACCTCCATGAAGAACGGACGCAAAACATCGTGTACCCTGCCCGGGAGAGGGTCACCGGGACCTACCCCTGGAGCCAGGCCTGGGAGTAGCGTCCCTCGGCGAGCGCCTGGTGGCCGGGCAGCCCACGTAACCCGGCCGGGCTCAGCCCGAAGAGGCAACGTGGGGGGACCATGTGGGCCCACCACCCGCAAGGTGGTGGGAGATTGCAGGGGGGCCCTTGGTGGCCTAGGCCCCTGCGGCAGAAACTGGCTCTTGGTACGTGGAACGTAACCTCACTGGGGGGGAAGGAGCCGGAGCTTGTGCGGGAGGTTGAGAGATACCAACTAGATATAGTTGGGCTCACCTCCACCCACAGTATCGGCTCTGGAACCAAACTCCTAGATAGGGGTTGGTCCCTCTCCTACTCCGGGGTTGCACAAGGTGAGAGGCGCCGGGCGGGTGTGGGGATACTCACGAGTCCCCGGCTGGCGGCAGTACAGTTGGAGTTTGTCCCGGTGGACGAGAGGGTCGCCTCAATGCGTATTAAAATCGCAGAGAGGAAAACTCTGACTGTTGTGTGTGCTTATGCACCAAACAACAGGTCGGAGTATTCGGCCTTCTTGGAGCAAGTGGGCGGGGTTCTGGAAAGGGTCCCAACTACAGACTCCATAGTCTTACTGGGAGACTTCAATGCTCATGTTGGCAATGACTGGGAGACCTGGAGAGGCGTGATTGGGAAGAACGGCCTGCCCGATCTAAACCCGAATGGTGAATTGTTATTGGACTTCTGTGCCAGGCATGGATTGTCCATAACGAACACCAAGTTCGAACACAAGGACGTTCATAAGTGTACATGGTACCAGAGCTCCTTGGGTCAAAGGTCAATGATCGACTTTGTTGTCGTTTCATCTGACTTGGGACCATATGTTCTGGACACTCGGGTGAAGAGAGGTGCTGAGCTGTCAACTGATCACCATCTGGTGGTGAGTTGGATCAGATGGCAGGGAAGACTGAGGGTTAGACCCGGTAGGCCCAAGCGAATAGTGAGGGTGTGCTGGGAACGACTGTCGGAGGCCCCTGTTCGGAATGATTTTAACTCCCACCTCCGGGAGAGCTTTTCTCATGTCCCGGAGGAGGTAGGGGACAGAGTCTGAATGGACCCTGTTCAAAACCTCCATTGTGGAAGCTGCCAGGCGCAGCTGTGGCCAAAAGCTTGTCGGTGCCTGTCATGGCGGTAACCCAAGAACCCCCTGGTGGACACCGGTGGTGAGGGAGGCCGTCAAGCTGAAGAAAGAGGCCTTTAGGGACTGGATGGCCCGAAGGACTCCCGATTCAGCAGATAGGTACCGACATGCAAAAAAGGTGGCAGCTGCAACTGTGGCAGAAGCAAAATCCAGGGCGTGGGAGGAGTTTGGTGAGGCCATGGAAAAAGACTTTCGGTCGGCCTCGAGGAGGTTCTGGACAACTGTCCGGCGACTCAGGAGTGGTCGGGGTGACTGCGCCCAGGCTGTATTCAGCAGGGGTGGAGAAACTCTGACTTCAAATGAGGATATTGTCGGTCGGTGGAAAGAGCACTTTGAGGAACTCCTTAATCCGGGTGACATGCCTCCCTCACGGGAGTCAGGGCCAGAGGCCTCTGGCGTGTCAAGCTCCATTTCCCTGGTGGAGGTCACTGAGGTAGTTGGCAAGCTCTTCAGTGGCAAGGCACCGGGGGTGGATGAGATTCGTCCGGAGATGCTTAAGGCTCTGGATATTGTGGGGCTGTCGTGGCTGACACGCCTCTGCAATAGTGCATGGACCTCGGGCACAGTTCCCTTGGACTGGCAGACCGGGGTGGTGGTCCCTATTTTCAAGAAAGGGGACCGGAGGGTGTGTGCCAACTATCGGGGTATCACACTGCTCAGCCTCCCTGGGAAAGTCTATGCCAAGGTGCTGGAAAGGAGACTTCGGCCGATAGTTGAACCTCAGATTGAGGAGGAACAATGCGGATTCCGTCCCGGCCGTGGAACAATGGACCAGCTTTTCACCCTCTCACGGATTGTTGAGG